GGGGTGCGGTATGCCCCTTAGAGTGCTCGACTAAGCTTTGTACTCGCAAAACCGCAAAGGTGACTTTGCGGCGATGGTATTGGGACAGCCGATGGCCGAGTGTGCTGCTCCCCTTCGTCGCCCAGACACAGGAAGCCCATTACTCGGTCGTGCATCGGTGTCGGAGCCGAGGCTTTCACCATTTGCGTTATCCGCTTGTAAAATAATGAAGTGGGAAATAGACGTGTGCAGTCAGCGGCAGTGTCTGCGGCGACTGCAGAGGCTGTCCCTGCGCGTCGTTAAGTGACGGCGCGAAGTTCAGACTGTCACCCCGCCCCCTCTCTGTGTCACACACACATACACAAGTGGGGTAGTACACGTAGCTCAGTGATTAGCGCCGGGGTGGAATGTGTTCTGATCAGAGAGAACGGCCGTAACGACAGACTTGTATCTGTTTTATGAGCCCCCAGGAGTGTGGTGTGACCTCGCCCAGCCCCGGCCCCGCCCTGGCGCGACCCGCCCAGGCCTACCAGGATGGATAGAGATAGAGGCAGCAGCAGCGGTACCAACCAACTCGTCTCCACGGGCGGCTCACAAATCACTCGGGATGACGAGGAGGCATTACTCTTATTATGATTCGCGGTCCGGTCGACTGGCCGGCCACCATAGCCCCCCACCTCCTCTCCTCCTCCTCTACCGCTAGTGCTACCGCCGCCACTACAGCAGCCCCGATCGCGGGGCAAATCGTCCCTCCGGTTGCGCGGCGCGGCGGCCGGCATGGAGTCGGCAGTGATGAAGTAGATTCCGTACCGCACGGTTTGATATTATTAGTGGGTGACGTGGCCGTTCCCGAATCAATTTACGGCCCCGCGGAGGCGCCGCCGAGTCAATAGTGTGCGAGTGGCGGGGCGGGGCGGGGTGGGGCGTGAACCTGGAAGGACGCCTCATGCACGGGAGGACGACGCCCTCGCCTCGCCGCCTCGGAAATAAGCCAACCTACCTGACCCTGTACGAATTTGTCTCTGCTTTTGTAATTCTTTTAAAAGCGTCGCCATTTTTGCGCCCTCCTTTTAAGAAACCGCGCCCGCGCTACAATTGATGACGATACACCGAGGAGGTATCTCTGGCGCGCCGCGTATGCTGCGGTGGTGGTGGTACCGGGTACTCGCGGTGTGGTGGGCGTGGCGTAGGCCAGTGAGTTATGACGGCACCGATACCATCTGAACCACCTACCGATACAGGTACCAGAAGTGCACCAGAAGGGGCACCACGGGGCCCAAGAAGTGTAGCACCGATAACATCCCCCGGGTATAACTCGCCCGGCCACAGCTGCAGCAGCGGCGGCAGTGGCAGCAGCTGCATCAGCAGCAGCTGCAGCAGCATCTGCAGCAGCAGTAGCGGCAGCAGCAGCAGCAATAGTAGTGGCAACAGCGGCTGCGGGACTCATGACGGGAGCCCCTGCAGCGTAGGCCGGCCCGCCACGCTCGTCTGCGCCCCGGCGGCCTACCTCCGCAGGGGCCATGGCTGGGGCCGTGCGCCTGTCCGCACAGACAGACGCACACGCACGCGCGCGCTGAAACACACACACACACACACACATACAGGCACGCACACACACTGCTCATGGTATTGAGTGAATTTGAATATGAGGTGAGGCCAAAGGGGGCGGCTCTTTGTGCTTCTCCCTTTTCTCCCTTCCTGGCAGCCCCCGTCGTGAAATCAATATTTTCTTTCTATATTTTTAGTTTCCTTTTCCCTCTTCCTTTTTTTTTACTTCGGCGTCGGCGGCGGCGTGCTGTACGTGCGGTGAGGTGAGGGAATCTGTGCTTGATATACCCTTCAAAGGAGGGAAAAAGGGAAAACAACGTCTGGGAATTGAGCGTTGGGAAAGGGAGGGGGGGGCACTGCGGGAGGCTGGTTGTGCACAGGTGTCTCGCACCTGCACGTGTGCAACGCGGTGTCGTGCAGCCCCGCGCGCTGCCTGTCAGTTAGTCAGTCTGGCGATAGCATCGCGCCGAGGCGACGCACGCGCACGCACGCGCGCATACGCACGCATACGCACGCACGGCAGCGCTCAGTTTGCATGGAGATGAGCCCCAGAAGGGCCGTAAATAACCGGGCGAAATACAGTAATAATGGATTCGTCCAAAGTAAACATTTGGAGATAACGGCTGGAAGCGGAGCGCTCGGGCGCCAATAGTGGGATTCAGGGCGCGCGGGGCGCCTCCGCGGGAGCTATGGGGCGCCCAATAAATCAGCCGCTGCTGCACCGCGATCCTCGCGCGCCCCGCGAACTCGTGCGGGGCGGGGGTCCCAATCCGTCTAATTTAGCAAAGGGGGGCTCTCAGCGTGATGACTTTGCGTCGCGACCATAGGGCGATGCGGGTGGCTCCCTCCGGTGGCGACCAAATCTGTGTGTGGTGGGTGGGGTGTATGACGTGAAAGTAAACAGATTCCGGCGATTCGGACGGACGTCCTCACCCGTCGAATTGAAACTGTTATGCTAACCATAAATTCTAAAGAAACAAGCAAAATAAAATGTGATCATTTTTTTTTTATTTTTGCCTTATTTTTACATGCGCTTGTTACGATGCAATTTTGTAATGAATATTTACATAGTATACTGTAAATTTATGACATTCCCAAACTTGCTCGTTGATTAATTCCAAAGCGATACCATAGTGCTTTTTTAAAAATACAATTTTGAATTGTGATTTTACAACACAACTTTATGGAGTATTTCGCCTTGGAACCTTACAAGTATTTTCCACAATGTTTTATTTTTTCTGTTTCCAGCTTACGGAGTGGCGATGCACAGGTGAGCCAAGCCTCAAGGAAGGAGGAGCAGGCCCCTTGCGAGACGGACGCGCTGCAGGCGAAATCATCAGAGCCGCGCGCGGTGAGTACCAATCAATGGTATGCAAATACGCACGCGGGGCACTCGCAGGTACCTGCAGGTACCTATTGCCGGCCAGCTGTGTGTGGACCACCCGTACTGCTGCTGCTGCCGGCTGGAACGCACTACTAGCTCGTGTGTGTGTGTGTGTGTTGTGCGTCCATGTGTGTATGTGTGTCAAATTGTGATGAGGTAATCCGGGAATGTGCGCGACCCTCCCCGGGTAATCACACCGTGAGGCGGGTCCGTAATGACGGAGGGGCATACCGTACCGCGTACACACACACACACACATATACACGCGCCCTCTCACGCGCGCGCGCTCTCGTGTTGTACTGTGTCCAGCTCAGTGGGGCGCACTTGTGGCGGAGGAATCCCTTTGGTAGCCGCGTCACGCCATAGTAGCAGGGGGCGGACAGTCGTAGGTGTGTTTCGTCACACTTGCATATGTATACCATGGTGCATCCCTTTTTCATATTTTTTACGGATCATTCCAAGACACATGAATGTGTTCGACTTTGACAACGTCCTATTCTCTTGCTAGGAAGACTGTTTCCGCGAGCGCAAGATTGCTGGATTATGGCCACAGGAGGTGGCGATAGTGGGTGTCCCCATTCCACATGAACGCGCCACACTAGGACCCAGCTTGCCTACTAAAATTTTAAATGGTTGGCAATTGACTCTGCCCTATTTCTTCTTTCTTGCTGTGCAGGCTTCATCGTATGGCTAGCTGCTCGGCCGCGCGGTCCTTGGGGTGCAGCTTCCTGGAGGCGCCGGTGTGCCGCGCTTGCCGCCTCCTTCCTCCCCCTTTCCCCTCACCTCCGCCCCGGAGGCGTTTGCCTTACGGGGCGCGCTCAGCTTTATATGACGCATCGCTCGCGTAATGGTAACAAATGACAGACGCCGACAACAGAGCGGCGCAGCGTGACCGCGGCACGCCACCACCACCGCTCCAACCACCGCCCAACTAACTCATTGAGGAATTAAAACGACATTTGGACGCGCGAGATTAAAACACACTTTGTTCCAAATTTGCCTCCATATCCGAAACACGCGCCGTCGTGCGGCTTCATCAGCCCCCCTCGGGAGGGGACATTAGCGGCGCGCCTTCACCACCTCCCCCTCCCCGGTTGCGTGCGACCGAACCCTCGCTGCTGCTGCTGCCTGCTAGGACTGAGGTCTCTCTTAACGCCTCTCTACGCCTCGTCTCTCTAACGCCCCCACCGCGCCGCTGACCAGCGCTGCTGAGGGAGTAAGAGTAGGGGGGATGGATGGCCGGAGCGTTTATAGTGGCGTTCGCACTTTCGTTATCGCTCGCGGGACTCGCGCCGCGCTGGGCCCCGCCGCCGCG